TCTCCTTCCCTCTCTCTCTCTCTCTCTCTCACACACACACACAAATAGCCATGATTATGGGAAACTACCAAGAGTTTCTCAAAGACAGGCTATTCTAGACTACATCTGTCTCTCTCTTTCCCTTTTCTTTTTTAAAATAGAGTTAGAAGCTGTTGGTGCAGTATATCTAGATTCCAGCAGGTCATCTATAGTGGTCCCCATGATATGACTGAGCTGGTAAAATAGGGTCTAGTGTTACCTGGGTTGGTAGCTGGTTGAGGGATTGTGCTCATTGAGTCCAGTGGGTGCCTGTAATCATGGAGAGGAGAGACAAGTGGGATGTCGGAGGGTCCTGTCCTGGGCCCAGAATTATTCATCATCTTTAGAAATTACTTGAAGGAGTAAAAGAGACACTCATCAAATTTGTGAATGATACTAAGCTAGGAGGATAGCTAATACTTCAGAACAAAGACTCAGGATTCAAGATGACTTTATCACATTAGGTAACTGGGCGAAAACAAGTAAAATGAGTTTCAACAGGAAGTAATGATCAAGTTCTACATTTAGGCAAGAAAAATCAGAGGCACAAATATAGGATTGATGAAACTTGGATTTGCTATAGGAGCGAGGAGCCCTTGTAAACTACAAGCTAAACCTGATTCCGATGTGGCAGCAAAAAAAAGCTAATGCATTAACAGAAATACAGTGGTGCCTCGCATAGTGATTGCTCCGTATAGCGAGGAAATTGCTTTGCGATGGACTTTTTGCCATCGCAAAAGCGATCACTTTGCGACGGTCCCTATGGGGAAATTTTGCTTTGCAATGATCGCAGGGAAGCAATCATCGCAAAGCCTTCATTTTTGCACAGCTGATCGGCGGTTTCAAAATGGCCACCGGGTAAACAAAATGGCTGCCCGCTGTGTTTCCTTGCTTAAGAGGCACCGAAAATGGCCGCCCCTATGGAGGATCTTCGCTTAAAGGTGAGTTTTTAGCCCATAGGAACTCATTAATCGCATTTTAATGCGTTTCTATGGGCTTTTTATTTTCGCTTAGCGATGTTATTGCTTAGTGATTTTTTCTGCACGGATTAACATCGCTAAGCGAGGCGTGGATTAGCCACTCTCAGATCAAAGGTAATAATAATCCCTGTTCTGCTTTTGTCAGACCTTGTTTTGAATGCTGTATCCAGTTCTAATCACCACAATTTAAGAAGGATGTGGGCATGCTGGCACAAGTCCAGAGGAGGGCAAACAAGATAGTAAAAGGGCTGGCTGGAAGAAGAAGATGGAAACCAAGCCCTTTCAAAATTTGAGGGGTTTGGGTACGTTTAGTTTGGAGATTTCAAGGGTGATATGATAGCCAGTATTTGAAGACCTGTCCTATGATAGATGTCGCAAGCTTCTTTTGTAGGAAGCTGTAGAAAGTAGGACATGAACTAGCAGATTCAAATTAGAAGGAATTTTCTTCTAATTGTTGGAAAGAACTTCCTGATAGTAAGAGCTGTGAGTGGAAAGCAGTGGCCTCTCCTGCGCTGAATGTTTTTATAGTTTTTCCAGCTCCACTTATGGTAGACACTATAGGACACTATATGCAAAGCACAATAGCTCTGATCCTCTTATATAGTGGCCCAAGTCCTGTTGCAGAACTACACTAGCACAACAGGAATAATTCACCAGAAGTGGCAGATTGCCATTAAGTTAATCCCTGTTTCAGTTTGGAGTTGCACATAAAGTCATCTCATTGTGCACGAGGCATGTGCAACCCAAAACCAAAGCATAGACTCCTTAATTCATGATAATCTGCCACTCTTGGTGGTATCATTCCCTGCTACACCAACATAGGTACGCAACAGGATACTGGCCAGTGCAGGGTAGAATTGTCATGAGTAGTCTAAAGATACTGGCTTGCCCTTTGCTATTATTATTGTTTCATTTGTGTCACATTGCTTAGTACTATGTTTCGTGTTTTATCAGGGCACTGTCATAGACTGATATATGATGTTTCAGCTTTTCTGCTGTTCAAATGCATTTGTTGCCTAACACTGGTGCCTAATCTTGTTTTCCAACAGATATGGAATTAAAGGGGCCGCCTATATGAAAAACAAGGAAGGACTGGTCTTATCTTGTCAAAGTGATGGGAATTGTGAATGGAAACCTGGTTCTCTCCAGCGTTTTCCCAGCAGAATTATTTCCACTCCCACAGTTGGGGACGCTGTTACTCTGAGCCTATTTAACCATGTGACAGTAAGTTACAAATGTATGCCCAAGGTATTACCAATTTACATATGGAAACAAAAGAGAACTTTACTGATTATTTTTTTCTACCTCAGGTAAAAGTCTGTGTACAGAGTTCTCGTTGCCATGCTGATAGAATTCAGCTCCAGATAATAAATTGCAAGCCTTACAAGACATCAGAAACAGAACTGTCTCAGAACTCCCACGTGTCAAGAGCAGATTTGGTAAGAGAAGTCACAAAGACTGCCGAAGAAGCACAGCATGCTCACAACAAGGCCCAAATGAAGAAGATGGAGGAGGGCTATGAGGAGTATCGCCAGACGCAAGGCTCGAGCCTGTATCAGTTGTTGGAGGAAATCAAGGACTGGGCTCTCTTAGATATATCTGCGGAGAGTAGAGCATGAAATCCGTTTCATGCAGTTCTTGTGTAAGGGCTTTTAGTTCCGGTCAGCTTTGTACAGGTCATCTAATATATTTTTAAAAGTTGGGTGTGTCTTGAGTATTTTGGTTTGCTGCGGTTGATTTAACAGTCCTGTACAATACAACTCCTCTACCCAGGGAGAAAGCTATATTTTAAGGTTCTGTTCTTAAACAAATTTGTAAGATTTAATAGCAACGGAAAGATAGTCTTAATTTCTGTGAATTCCGTACTAGAGATGGGGGTATTCGTATACAACAATCCCTGCACAGGTGGAAAGAAATAACATGGGCCAGACTGTCCAATCACGATTTCGCCGCTGCTGCCAGCTCACTGGAGACTTCCTATCGCACTGTTCTCTCCAGTGGATTAGCCACTCTCTGACCTAGCAGAGAGGCTTGTCATCCCGCCTCCTGCCAGGACTGGGTAATCGATTGCGGACAACGGCGTGATAGGAAGCCTCCGCGGAGCCGGCGGCAGCGGCAGCGGCGAAATCATGAGTGGAAATAACCCTCATTATTTTCACCCGTGCCAGGATATTCATATTCGTATACAAATACGGATACCTCCATCTCTATTCAGTACATAAAATTGTAAATAGCTCAGGGAATAAGTACTAATTTGTTAAGATGTGACTACTTAATATTTCTTCAAATTTTTGCTGTACAATACTTGAAGGCACTGGCACTGAACAGTCAAACCTAAGTTAGCCACCTTAGCTACTTTATAGTTAAGCTTTTGGCATTTGCACGCTGGAGGTTTTTCACTACGCGTATTCTTTGCAAGGGAATGGAGGGGAGCACTTTTTAATAGCAAAGGTACCACTTCCTGTTTCACCTGATACATAGATGAGGGGTTTCTGTTTTGTTTCCAGTAACCAGAAGACCAAAAAACTACTTATGAAGCCAGAGCAGAGAAGGGCACAGGGAAGGCGAGATGTTCTCTACAGAGGTGCTAAGCTTTGCTGCATATTAAAAAGGACTAAAACACATCCTGTTAAGGCAGAATAAAAACTTATTTCCTAGGCACAATTTTTTGTACACTTGGAGGCTTTGTTTTGCTTTGCTTTGCAGTTCTGGGGTTTTCAGAAAGGGATTTGTTTATCCCACTTAGTTTTTATTTGGCGAATTTTGTTAAAATGACAGAGATGACTCTGGGAGAGAGAGAGAGCTTGCAACATTTTGTTTTTAGGAATATGTTTTTAGGATTTTATGCTTGACATCTTTTAAAATTAGTTTGCAAGAGGCAACAAAAAAGGGATTAACTTCTCCCTGCAGTGGTTTGATGAATATATATTGAAGTAACCTGCAGTAACCTCTCTAAAGAAGGAGCATAGAGTGTTATGATGTACAGAAATTTTAGTTTTTAAAACAATGTTCTCATCCAGTTGAGAATAACATCACAGACATCACAGACACCTTAATCTGAGGTGAATAATTTCCAAAGTTTTGCAAGTATGCAAGTCTACCACTGGACCTTGAAGGACTGCACCCCAGCCCCCCCCACTACAAACATACTTCTATTTTACAAAATATAATACAGAAAAGGGTGGGGTGGGATGGGTGCAGGGGTGGGCAGGCACTCCTGCGCACACGCGAAGCGGTGCGGGAGCGCACGCGCCGGAGGCATGGCAAGAACTCTGCAAACTGGGTATGGTTCCCAACCTGAGGTTGAGACTACCCCAAGCCAGCATACTTATTCTTTCTGCCTCCTTACCGGGGGAAGTCCCACCTCTGTTCCCTTCCTGCTGTAGATACAAATGCTTGCTTGCCTCTCTCTCTTCCCCCCCCGCTCTGCACCACCCCCATCGCCGCCGCTGCCGGACCGTGAAGACAGACTTTCCCCCTTTCCCCACCCCGTACGCACTCCTCTCCCCACAGCAGCTTTGTGCGCATGGCGTGAAGGAGGGAGCGCTCACGCCAGCGCTGGCACGCATGGGTGTGCGCAAAGGAGCTGTGAGAAGGGGAGTGTGGGGGAGAGGGGGAAAGTCTTCGCGGCCCGGTCTGGCTCATGCCAGGGACCAGCACCAGGTCGCGGACCAGGCGTTGATGACCGGGTGTGCGCAAAGGAGCTGTGGGGAGTGCAGGGGAGAGGGGAGTCTCTCTTCACGGCCTGGTCTGGCTCATGCCAGGGACCGGCACCAGGTCGCGGACCAGGCGTTGATGACCTGTACACTATAGAACCAAAAGGTGATGTTTTGTTTAATATTGTAGGTCCTGCCCATGACATTACTAAAAAAATTATCTCCCTGACAAACACACAGGTTATGCAACATTTGGGATCACAAGGATGTGATCCAAGGTTACTGATGGGTGGTTTGAGGACAGCTCTTACCAGTAATCTCTGCACATTTGCTGGCTGACAGAAAGCTATTACAGGAGGCTTGCTGATGGCTGTCACAAGATGCTCTGAGTTTGCTAACAATGGATTCATAGAATCATAGAAAAGTGAAGTTGGAAAGGGCCTACAAGGCCATCAACCCCCTGATCAGTGCAGGAATACAATCAAAGCATATCTTCCAGATGATTATCTTTTTCTTGAATGCCTCCAGTGTTGGAGCACTCACCAACTCCTAGTTACTGGTTCTACTGTCGTACTGCTCCAATAGGTGCTTTTTCCTGATATTCAACTGAAATCTGGCTTCCTTTGAGCCCATTGTAGCATGTCCTGCACTATGGGATGATTGAGAACAGATCCTGCCCCTCCTCTACATGACAGCCTTTCAAATATTTTTAAAGTGCTCTCATATCACCCCTCAGTCTTCTTTTCTCAAGGCTAAACATGCCCAATTCTTTCAGCTTTTCATCATAAGGCTTGGTTTCCAGCCCCCTGATCATCCTTGTCGCCTTCCTCTGAACTAATTCTAATTTGTTAGCATCTTTCTTGAAGTCTGGTGGAACTGGACACAATAATCAAGGCCTAAACAGTACTGAATAGAGGGGGACTAGCACCTAGTGAGATTCAGAAACTATACTTCTATTAATGCAGCCTAAAATAGCATTTACTTTCTGTAATTGCCTTGTCATAATTTGGAGATGCTGAATGGAAATCTATTATGAGAATGAGTTATTCATTGGTAGATTTATACCTCTAACAGAAGTTTCCTTGAACAAGAAGCGCTTATTTTTATAATAGAATAAATGATAATCAGAGTATATCCTGCAAATCAAGTGTTTCTTGCATAATCTTTTTATCATTGTGTTAAAAATGTGTCTGATTCTAAGAGGCAAATCCTATGAGACAAACTTCTGTATATGTTTGGCAGGATCAGCGTTGGCATCAGTGGACTTGTTATAAAAGTCAGTAACAGATCTTTTCAGCAATAAGAACAAGAAAACAGAAGGATGGATTTTCAATGGTTATTGGATGTAAATTTAATTCTGAATTGAACAGTTGATATGTGACAAATTTCTCTAGGTGTTCCTAGCCTTTTGTCGAGACCGTAAAGATATAATCAGTAACCACCATATAAGTTTGTTACTGACCTTACAAAATGGTTTTTTTCTTTGCCCATGAACAAATTTGCATAAGAAGGAACTACATAAGTGCCTATTTTTGAACCTCACCATTACAGGTAGTGCAATAATTAAAAATTATTACAAGAGAGGTCGAATGTTTCCATATTCTTTCTAGTGGATAGAGATGTCTTTTTCTCTTTGTTTCAAAGTGAGAAGTCAGATCATCACATACTAGAAGAGGCAGCAAGACTGCCTACTTCCTTAGCAACGATACTGAGCTTGTCTTATCAGGTGTTGGGTGCCCCATATTGCATTCAGATTTGGTAAGGAACGTAACAAAGACTGCCAAAGAAGTACAGCTTTTAGCCTGCCATTTGTACTGCATTTACATTCTTTGTGCCCCTGGAAGGCAGAAGATGGACAAGATAACCTGTTGGGTCTTTCTACAGATTGCATGCCTTGTCTGCCACAGCAAAACAACTAGCTGGAATGGTTAGATAAAGTAAAATAGCTAGGAAGCAGTGTATTATTTAAGTGGCTCTCCATGCAGAAGCAAAGAAAACAGAGTTGGTAAACCACTGTTTTATTCCCCCCCCCCAAGTACTGCCTCAAGCATGAATGGAGAGTTAGAATCTGAACACATGACATTTGTCTAGCTTTGAAATGACAGCCTGGATTATAACACAGTTTCCTGGTGGTTTTCTTCACAGAAGCCTGGTTCATTTTTTGTTTCCAACATTTATTTCCCTCATTTCACACATAAAATATGGACACAGATACAAATATTTAATAATATGAAAGTTACAAAAGATTTAAATATTGAAAATGCTGGCTGTAGTTAGCTTGTATTATTTACTGTGGGGGTCCCCAAACTTTTTCACCCCGCGGACTGGCTGGGGAAGGCAGGGCGTCTCCCATGCTTGTGCTCATGCGCAAATGAGAGTGTGCACATATGCAAACTGCAGGGCAGTACTTGTGCAGGCACTCATACACATGCGCAAATGGCACGGTGCTTGGATGTGCACACTGGAGAGCGCACATGCACAAATCAGTTGTGCAGCGGTGAGTGCATGCGGGGGGGGAGGTCTGTCTCCGTGGCCCGGTCCAGCTCAGGCCATGGACTGACACCAGGCTGCAAATCGGGGGTTGGGGACCTCTGATCTACTGTTTATGTTATTTTTAGTTTGAAGTTGCTACTTTTATCCAAGTTTCAGGGATCTTCAGTAAACCTTACTAATATCTGACCTAGAGCTTCCTGACAAAATTGGTCAGTTCAAGCGCTCAAACTGGTTGCAGTTTTTAAAATTCAACAGTGAAAGAAAATGATAATAAAATTCCTTTAGTAACAAAGAATGAAAAATATGCCACTGGTGTTTCAAGATGTAGGGTTTGTCAGTAATTTCCAAAGCAGTTAAGATCATTTATCGTCTTCTATACTTCCACTTCACAGGTTTTCCGTAGCTTCAAAAGGGACACTTCCTGCTTCTACTGCAATCACATCTTGTTGCTCAATCAGAATGGTGTTGTTTTCTTCATCTGGCTGGGTCATGCACATCTCTATTAGAAACAAAAAATATTGGGTGTCTGAAGTTACTGTTCTTGCATTAAGCCCCTTCTTCTGTAAATTTAATTGGTAAGGGTCATACTCTCTAAGTCAATCAATAATTTAAAGAGTTTTACAATGCGAGTGACAATCTCTTTAAAAACAACTTTTATGAAGAAAAAAAGGAAAGCAATTATCACTAAAGCAGGAGTCAAGCTTCAGTAAATAGTTAATTTTACAGCAAAATAAAGTGAAGGTTTAATGTGAGGACAGACTTATTTTTATTATGATTACTGCACGTTTCCATGGAAAACAGGAACCAAGAGTATCGTATTACATAAGAACTTTTTACAGTACTCTCACACCCTGCTCAGCACTTCCTATGAGAAAGTCTGTAGGTGTGAACAGAACATTGATTCTTTATGCCAAATCTCCCTTTCCCCACCAGCCTTTCCCCCTGAGAAAGTACAGGCAAGGAGCGCTAGAATATCTGCCAGCCTGACCCACAACTTCAAAGCTGTCTTTTGGTGGAAGGTTGCCAGTGCTGGTCAACCTTCTGTCTGAGGAAAGCCTTTGCAGGGCAAGGAAAAGTGCTATTTAGACAGTTTGCTAGAAAGCAGTATCTCAGTGGTAGTACATAGTTTTTCAATGCAGGTGGTTCCAGATTCAATCCCAACATCTCCAGGGAGAGCTGGAGAAACAACTGCTGCCAGTCAGTGTTCAACAGTACTGGGTTAGAAGGATCAATGACCTGACTCAGTGTTAGGTGGCTTCCTAAGCTGCTCCAACCACCTTCCAGTAGCATGACTCATTTCCCCTACCAAGAGGTACAGAAGAGAGCCTGAAATGAGCATTGTAGATGTGGACTGCACTAGTTGACAACTCAGTCAATCTCCATTTCAAAGGTGCCCCTCATGCTACTGACCATCCACAATAATCATGCTCCCAATTGATTTCCCCCTCTGTGGGCCAATGGTCCTTGAGAAGCAAAAGGTGCATGTTTAATCATTTCATTTACAGTATTTGTTTCCAAAGGGCAAAGCAATTGTTTTGGGTAGATATTAAACGTAATTTTCTTTCAGCCAAGGAAGCCAACCCATTTCAGAGTTTGTCTGCACACTTCTCTTCACTGTCTGTAAAGCTATCAAGAAATAATGCAGTTTAAGGTTATCAACCTCCTTTCTTGCCTGGTGACATGACAGTTTGTTAATCTCCATCACTGTAGTAGTCTCTTTACTGAGCTGCACAAAAAAGAAAAGAAAAATTGCTATAAAAAAGAATTACTGCATTGTCATGGCAACCCCTATAGGGAAGCAACCTATACTGACTGCAAGAAAACATGTTAAATGAATTAGACCTCCCTGCCTTATGACAGGCAGGCAGACAGGTTTTAGGCTGTAGGGGAGGGAGAACCTGCAGGCAACAATTTTTTACCACAGAGCCCACTGCAGTCTGAAAAGGGGAGGATCAAAATCGAAATATGCAGTAAAACTCAAATGAGAGGGAGGGGGATGAAATAAGTCATGGGAGCCCCTGTGTCAGGCTCTAATGCAAAAAGGTCACTCCTGGAGCCTTTCCCTCAACATTTATTGTCTTAGGGGCCTCAGGGCCCTTGTTAAGTGCTGTCAAGTCTCCTCCACCTCATGGTGAATGTATGAGTGACCTCCAAAATGTTCTATCATTAGCAGTCCTGCTCAGGTCTTGCAAACTCAAGGATGTGGCTACCTTCAATAAGCCAGTCCATCTTGTATGGCCTTCCTCTTTTCCTGATGCTTTCAAACCTTTTCTACCACTATGACTTCTCCAATTCTTGTCTTCTCATTAGATGACCAGAGTACAACAGCTTCACTTTTTTCTTTTTTGCTTCAGGCTTGATTTAACTGTTCACATTCAAGAGAAAATTAGACAACCGTCAGATAGACCTTGATTTGAATCCCTGCATTGAGCAGGGGGTTGGATTCAATGGCTTTATAGGCTCCCTTCCATCTCCATTTCTATGTTCTAGGGCAATGGTTCTCAAACTGGGATCCCAAGATGTACTTGGACTGCAATTCACAGAAGCCTTCATCACTAGCTGTGCTGGTCAGGATTTCTGGGAGCTGTGGTCCAATAACATCTGAGGACCCAAGTTTGAGAACTGATCTAAGGCCCACTTGTGTGCCTTTTTGGCAGTCCATGATATCTGCAATGCTCTCCTCCAACATCACATTCTGAAATTATTTAATTTCTCCCGGTGGCTGTCTCTACTGTCCAGCTTTCACATCCATACACAGTAGCTGGAAATACAAATAGTGATGATTTGGGGGCATGGACTCCAGGTGATACACCCCTTGTACTTCACAACTTTTTTTCCAGTTTCTTTGTAACTGCCCTTCACAGTCTCAGTCTTCTATATCAGTGTTTGTTTTGAGGGTTTGTTTGTTTTGGGGTTGTTGTTTTGTCTAATATGCTTGCAGACTGAAAAAAGTACTTCTTTGAAAGTACTTTTGGTTTCCTGGCTGTGCATTCCATTTGGATGGCTTGATGATTGAACGAAGGCACAGAAAATCTTTAAACATTTAAATTTCTTCAGTAATGTAGCTCTTCTACAGTCATGATTCTTGTCTTCTTAATGTTCAACTGTACTCCTATTTCACAGTTTCATCAAGAGTTCTTTCAATGTGTCACTGCTCTCTACTGGTAACATGGTATATAACTTGCATGTTTCCTTGTTTATTTAATTTATATACCGCCCATCTAGTCAAAGGCCACTCTGGGTGGCTTACAGCATAATCAAAGCAATAAAATACAGTATAAAAATAAATTCAACATATAAAACATACTGAAATATAACTACAGTGGTGCCTCGCATAACGATTTTAACTGGTTCAAAAAAAAAAGTTATGTGAAACATCGTTATGCGAAACACCATTTTCCATAGGAATGCATTGGAAACCGATTAATCCGTTCCAATAGGCACGGATTGCCGTCCTTAAGCGAAAAAACCCATAGGAAACATCGTTAAACGATACAATGTTTCCTCCATTGGAATGTATTGAAGCTGACTCAATACATTTCAATGGCTTTGCGAAGTCAATTTTTGCAAATTTAAGTGTGTCATAAAAGGGTCAAAAATGGTTTTAAATGCTTGGATTAGCTTCTACACCCTCTAAAACGGATGCAAAAGTTAATTTGGCTTTGATATGACTTTTCGTTAATTAATGGTGAATTTTTTCCCCCCAACTTTTGACAGCTGTCAAAATCTGACAGCTCCATTATTTCCTATGGGGGAAGAAAAAATTCACAAAAAATTAACGAAGACTCAGCAACTGTTCTAAATGCTTGGGTTCGTTAGAGGACCCCCTAAGTCGTGTGCAAACCTGATTTGGCCTTGATCTGAACTTTCGTTAATTTATGGTGAATTGTTTTCTC